TAAGATATATTGACATCTATCAAGGACATTCGGTAGACTGCTTTCCTACTGGTGTTTCAACCCAAAAACTTGTTTGTATTCAAAATTAATTATAATAATAATAATACTTTATTTCGAGTACTAGCTCATATAAACATAACCAAAGTTACAGAAAAATAAGAATAAATACCAAGAAAATGTACATAATAAATATGTTAAAAAACATGGCTCAGCCAAGTACTCAAAAGCATACTACATTTTATTACATCTGGGCTATAAATAGCTGTACTTATTGCATTCTTACTTTTTATAATTCTTAAAAAGAAGTTCGCCATTTTTTTTCTCCGAAGAGCTTCAAAAGTAGTGGCACGATTATGTACAAGGGTTTGAGTCATACTAATATCCCTCTTGCCAAGCTTCAGTAAAATTCTAAATGCATTATTATATGCAACACGAACTCGATTAATCTGCCCTTTAGTACTGTAAAGGGGGTAATTATTCACTGGGTTTTAATTTAGCTTATTTCGCTGACTGGAAAATGCGCTAAATTAAAACCCAGTGAATATGTAAAATTTAGCATAGAACACATTATCTAAATGACGAAACCGTGAATTTAAAACCCACTGAATATGCCTAAAATGGTAAATCAGTGAAATTTAAACCCAGTGAAAATTAATCATTTTACAGTATGTATAGACCACAAATGAGAGCAGTACATGGTCGTACAGTAACTCTGAAACAATTTAATTTTTATTTTTGAAGAGCAGTAAGCAAATCTTCGAATGAGCCAGTTTGCCCTAACGTAAAAACTTTTCATTTGTCTAATAATATCATCACTATCATCTCCATGTTTATTAATGACCACACCCAAATAGGTGTGCTTGTCGACAAATCGCACTGCAACACCATTCAGAAATACGCATGGAATTTGTCTAATCCTACAACGAGGAGGTACCATAGAATTATGACAATGGATATTCATATTGAAACCCACTATGATAAAGGGAATAATATTATATAACAAAGGTCACCAGAGTTTAACTATGTTAATATTTAGATAACTATTGCAAACCATGCGCAACCATGTCATTGTGCAAGGAGCAACGTGTATTCCGTAACCTGCTCACACATGTGCGTTATGCTCATTTGCATACCACGTGTAGAAAGTGGTGGATATGATGGTTTAATTGAGGGAATTGCGAGTTTACAGTTGTGACAAAGTGTATTTAGAGTACGTATTGAATCTTTGTGTGAATTATTATCATAAGATTACACCACTGATGATACATATTGTATACTGAGTTAAGAAATGAATAAAACAGCAGTATGATAAAGAAATTGTTGAAGCTGGTATAAAACATACCAATACGGATGACAGTGACATTGAATTTCTTGTCCACAAATATGGAATTAAAAGTTGATTCTTCATACATACCCCCTCACAGCATTGTTATCGAAAGCAGCCTCAAACGAAAAACGATCAAAGGATTCAGGAAAGCCCTGGTAGAAAGCCCTAACGTGGTCATGGTTTGGTTGATAATGGGATTTACTGAAGCACAATTTTGTCTAAATTACCATTCATCTTCAAATGGTCTGTGATGGTGTATAGGTTTGGATGTTGAGACCCCCTCCCCTCACACCAGTCACCTAGTGCCACAGGATTTAACAATTTTTTTCTGATAAATATTAAGAAACTTGTATATATATATATATATATATATAT